GATGTAAAAGAAGAAGAAGAAGAGATGGGATTTATACCCCATGGCCCTTCACTACCCAAAAGTGTCTCAAAGCGGCTTACAAACTCCTTTCCCTTCCCCTCCCCACAACAGACACCTTGTGAAGTAGGTGGGGCAGAGAGAGCTCTGACAGAAACGGCTCTTTTTCAAGGACAGCTCTTATCAGAACTACGGCTTGCCCAAGGTCATCCAGCCAGGTGCAAGTGGAGGAGTGGGGAATCAAACCCGGTTCTCCCAGATTAGAGTCCTCGCACTTAACCACTACATCAAACTGTCCTAAAGGAACACAAGAGAGCAGGGGGGGCCCACCCCAAATTCACCAAAGAAAGGGGCAGGAGGGGAGGGAAAAGACAGTTTGGCCTCTAGAATGTGGTGAACTTTTGCTGGGTGGAATCCTTTAGCCACGGAGAGAAGGGTTGGGAAACCAGAGAATCGCAGCTGAAGTGATCCAGGTGCTTCCCGGTGCAGTTCCAGGTGTAGGATACCTGCTGGGTGAACTGTGATCGATCAGACAAAGGTCATCAGATCGTTCTGTTTTCGAGACGCCTCTTGGATCAGGCTACACCAGCAGTAGCCTCTTCCTCTGGACATGGAGGTTCCATTTAACTTGCTCAGCTAATCGACCTGGGCTTATCCTCCATTATGTTTTGGCATATCTCGTGGCGATGAATTCCAGAAGTTAATTACGCCCTGTGCAAAGCTGTGCTTCCTTTTGCCTGCCCTGAACCAATCGATCAGCCTCCTTTAGGGAACCTGAGTTCACTAAATGAGAGAGGGAGGTGGCAGAAGAAGAAGAGATTGGATTTATACCCCGCCCTTCACTACCTGAAGAAGTCTCAGAGCGGCTTACAAACTCCTTCCCCTTCCCCTCCCCACAACAGACACCCTGTGAGGTAGGTGGGGCTGAGAGAGCTCTCTCGAGGACTGCCCTTGAGAGAACAGCTCTGAAAGAACTTGTGACTGACCCAAGGTCACACCAGCAGCTGCACGTGGAGGAGTGGGGAATTGGTTCTCCAAGATTAGAGTCTGTGCACTTAACCACTACATCAAAGTGGCTACACCAAACTGGTGCACTTAACCACTACACCAAAAAGAAATCCGTCAAGAAGACCGAACAAAGCTGTTTGGGCTCAAGGGTTTCCTCTAAATCCTTAGGGGGTGGTTGTTTTTAATCGCTTCAGAGTAAAGCTCAGAGTGCTTCTGGGCATGTGCAGAATATATCTTTCCCCTCGTTTCAAAAAAGAAATAGTTTCCTTGCCTGCCCCCACCAAATTGTCTGGGATGAGAATCAGGTCTTATTGAGATTGCTGAGCCCCGGTAGATTTTTGAGACTATCTTCTGCTCGGTAATGAAACAGCTTTCCTTCAAACACACAACAAACTGAGCCATCGAGGTCAGGCACCCAAGAGTCATGGCAGGGAAGACGGAAACTTGACTCCAGGTGTCCACTAAGGTGCAGAATATCCATACGAGCGCCCGCCCGCCCACCTTGTTCCGCCTCAAGTGCCTTGGGAAATCCGAAGCCAAGCGACCTCTTCAAAGGTGATCTGTATTTGAAAATACCCCGGGGACCCGAGAGGCAGTTAATAAACCTCCTAAATAAAGACTCATCATGTGGACTTCCAAGCAATTACATCATTATTTTTTCCCTGCACCAATTCCATATTGCTTTCTCCGTCAGGCGATGAGTTGATCAAAATGATTCACAGTCAGGTTTGTTTCTATGTGTGTGTGTGTCTTTTTTTAATGCAACGAATTGGTACTGTAAAGCAGAATTGCTACACACGGTCAATGGTGAGTGATACGTCAAGACTCCAGCAGTGGCGGACCTGCATTTTTGGGACCCTGAAGCTTAAACTGTCATGGGGGTCTCTTCTCAACCTGTAACAATAGGGCAACCGTGCTGCAAGCCCCCCGAGAAAATGTTGAGATCTGACCAATTGCAGGGATATTTTGAGCCCGTATGAAAGGGGTATTAGAGCACATTCTAAGGGCAGTATTAGATACTTCAACCCATTGGTTTATGATTCTGTCACTAAAGTAGACTCATTTTAATAACAAACACGTAAGGACATCAGAGAAGCCAATGTTGGATCAGGCCAATGGCCCATCTAGTCCAACACTGTCACACAGTGGCCAAAAATACCCGGTGCCATCAGGAGGTCCATCAGTGGGGCCAGGACACTAGGAGCCCTCCTGATGGCACCTGGTATTTCTGGCCACTGTGTGACACAGAGGGTGTGTTCAGACGCGGCCTTTCTGCCGGCATAAACGCGATCACACTCACCTCCATTTTGCGAAGCCCTCCGGTGGACGCCCGCTCACACGCTGCGGGCGTCTGCCTGTTTTTTTTTTTTTTAAAGGACAGTTTGAGCATGCGCATAGGCAGCCATTTGGAGAATGGCGATTTTTTGCGCATGCTCACCCCCCCCCCCCCTTACATTTAAACTTTAAAGGTAAGCACTTACCTTTAAAGTTTAAAACCCAACCTGGCCTCGCTATAGTCCCAGACTCCTCCGGGAAGTTAAAGTAAGGCATTTTTATTTTTTTTTAAACAAACGCTCAGGGCGAAGCTTCGCCTGAGCGCATATCGCTTCCTCTTTAAAAAAAATGGCGGGGGAAAGCCAGAAGCCTCAGGCTTCCGACGGAAGTGTCTCTGTAACGGAGGAGAGCGATCAGACGCCTGGGTGCACCGATGACAACCATTGCACTCTGTTTACCACCACTTCCGACCTAGTGGCAGAGTACAACGGTTTAAAGCTCTTTACAACGGATAGAGAGGGAAGACAGATGTTCCCCGTCTGAACGCCGGTACCGGCACAGAATCCGTTGTAAAGGCTGCGTCTGAATGCACCCAGAGTGTTGGACTGGATGGGCCTTTGGCCCCGATGCAATAACTTCGGCCAAAAGTGACATTGTTGCATCTGGGACATCGCACGGGGATGCTCTGGTTTTTGGGCAAACTCTATGGTAAAACTGGGCTTAAACCATAGAATTTGCCCAAAGCCCAGAGCGTCCCCCATGCGACATCCCCAGAGTGATGACATCACTTCCAGCTGAGATCATCACATCCGGGATATTGCATGGCGAAGTCCCTGTTTATGGGCGGGGTTTCCCCACTGGCCAGTTGGTCTGTGGCAGGGAGTAGCCCCCGAAACCAGGGAATCCCCCGCTGGGACATGGGGGCTGGCAACCATACCCACGGATGGGGTCGCCATGAGTCAGTTGTGACTCAATGGCACATTCTTCTCACTGGCACCCCTGCAGGGGTCACTGCCCACCGGGACTAGCTTGAGTCCCCTCCCCATTCCTCCTCTTCTATTGTTACCATAAGGGTGGGCCAAGCCTTGGGTACCAATAAGAGATAGTGACACTTTTGTCCGCCCTGCAGTTAGTCTGTAGCCTTCCACCCTTTGTCCTGCCATGTCCCAGAGCTGATGCTAGCCCAGGGGTGTCAAACATACGGCCCGGGGGCCAGATGAGGCCCCTGGGGGGCTTCTATCAGGCCTACAGTGGAACTGGCTGTCTTCTGCTGCTTCTTCCAGTTCTGCTGCCGCTACGCCATCGTAGGTTTGCAGCTTACACATACACACCTGAACAGCATGCTCAAGATTGCAGCAGCACAGACATTTTGAAGCAGTAATTCACAGCAAGTGGTGTCAGTTATCAGACACTGTTAAATAAACAAAATATTGTGAGAGTGCTGATGTTTTAAGCATGTTTTTATTTTAGATTTTAAAAAAACCTTTGTGTTTGTGTCCTTTATAAAGTTTATATCTCCGCTACCTGGCATTGCATTTTATGACACACGTGGCCCGGCCCAACAAGGTCTCATTTATGTCAGATCCGGCCCTCATAACAAATCAGTTTGACACCCCTGTGCTAGCCCAATGTTGGAGAAGCCAATGTTGGATCAGGCCAATGGCCCATCCAGTCCAACACTCTGTCACACAGTGGCCAAAAATACCAGGTGTCATCAGGAGGTCCGCCAGTGGGGCCAGGACACTAGAAGCCAACTGTAGAAGGACACTGTTGCCCCCTCCAAGTGCCAAGAATACCGAGCATCACTTGCCCCAGACCGAGAGTTCCCATTTATACCTTGTGGCTGATAGCCACTGATGGACCTCTGCTCCATATGCTTATCTAATTCCCTCTTGAAGCCGTCGATGCGTCCATGCTTGTAGCTGCCACCACCCCCTGTGACCGTGAACTCCAGGTGTTCATCACCAGGAGGAAAGCACGCCTGCCTCTCTGCTCCCACTGACCTGGCAACCCTTCCACCCCAGGTGTGTCATAAAATGTGCCGCCACGGGTTACGTGGACACCAGTGTGCCACTGCTGACCTCAGCTGCTGAGCCAAAAATTCTCTTCCCCCCACCCCCGCCAAGGGTCATCCTGAGCATTTTTTCCCCCTTAAAAAAGGGATTAAGCAGATTCACAGAGGAGAGGACTATTCATGGCTAGTAAGCCACAATGGCTCAGCTGAAGAACCTATCCTCAGAGGCGGCATACCTCTAATGGCCAGCTGCCTCAGGCAAGCCACTGGGGGGATATCTCAAATCCATCCGGGCTGCCGTCGGAGACAAAGAGCCAGGCAAGATGGATCCCGGGCCTGACCCAGTGAACATTCTTGTTCAATCCGATTAACGCACCACCCGAGGACGTCCGTCCGGCACGAGCCGCGGCATGTTTGAGAGAATCCAGAGCGGAGGGTTCGATGAGCGTCAAAATCAGTGCAGGCCCACATTTGCCGAAAGGGGATTTGGTTGTTTCCCCTCCTCCCCAGTCCAGGATGGACCCACCCGAGGGGTTACAGCAGCAGGTGGGGTGGGGGGTTGAAAACAAAGGGAGGGGGAGGCGAGAGAGATGGAGAAGGAGGTTAATGAATTATTTAGTAAGTCAAGGGTAAGGAGCAAAGAGCCTCCCAGTGGGAGAGGGCCAGATTAATTCAATTAAAGGGGGATGACGGCACTGCGTCTCACCCGAGGCCTGTTTGTCCACAGCCGCACCTTGCAAGGCCCGCATCATGAGAGCCACAGGCCAGGGGCCCGGGTCGGCGGTGGCGAGACCAGGCCGGGTGTGGGTCAGGCATTTGCGGGCACTGAAGCATCCGTTGCCCCCTACGAGTGAGCGCCCGGGTCCCTGCTCAACTGTGCTCCAAAGGGAGGCGTCAGGGTTGCTAAGAGACGCACTCTCTCTTGGCTCAGGCCCCGCTTCCCAAAATAGCAAAGGCAGCCAGAAGCACCCCACCCTGTGTCCCCCCTCCTCTTCAGTTGCCTCAGGAGGAGAGGCGGTCTCTGTCGGCCCACCTGCCAGGAGGTCCATCCCGGATAGGTGCTATTTGGCTCAAATAAGAGCTCTTCCCCACCTCCACGGGCCTGAGCAAGATATTTGTGGAAACCCTAGGAGAATCTGAAGAGATTCCAAGGGTTTATTTCCATCACCGTGTTCAGATTTGCATCACGAAACTGATATTAAGACGGGAGAGCATCAAAAACGCGACGACCTATGTTCCCATGGACAGCCCCGATATTCTCATACCATCCCTAGTCACTGACCGTGTTTTTGTCTTGGGGGGGGATGATGTATCGGGAGAGGGGCTTGTAAAATCTCGCTTGTTTATGTTGTTTGTCGAGCATGTCCAGAAGAGGGCAACCAGGATGGTGAGAGGGTTGGAATCCAAGTCTTATGAGGAAAGGCTGAAAGAGGTCAGGTAGAAGATGGAGCAGTTCTATTCTCTCTTGCTCCGGATTGCAAGACTAGATCTAATGGGTGGAAATTACAAGGGAGTCGTTACCGGCTAAATATCAGGAGAAACGTCCTAACGATAAGAGTGGTTGAGCAGTGGAACAGACTGCCTCGGGAGGTGGTGGAGGCTCCTTCGCTGGACATTTTCAAGTGGAGGCTGCATGACCATCTTTTGGGTATGTTGTAGGGCTATCTTTCGGCTGTGCTCCTGCAGAGTGCAGGGGGTTGGACTAGATGACCTGCAAGGTCCCTTGCAACTCTAACATTCTATGATTCTTAGCCCCGTTCCTGGGCCACACTGATAGTTGTTAAATCTCAGAGGGATGTGTGGGAATGCATACACACATTTGAACTCTCAGGCCAGGCCGCACTGCCGTTTAGTACCCCACAGCTGGCGAACTTCCCTTGAAGACATATGATAGGGCGATGATGCTTTTCTAGAGTACCAAAAGAACAAAACCATCTTTGCTTTTCAATCGGTGAGGCGGACTGTTGCAGTCGGCTGATACAGGAAGGGACGAAAGAGTCTTTGGCTATAAGGCATTTTGTGTGGTGCGCGTGGCATCAAAGAGGTAGCCAAGTGGTAAACTTTAGTGCGAGAAGACAATTAGGGTTGAACTAGGCCTGGGGAGGCCCCAGTTCAAAACCCTAACCTGCCCCTAATGCTCACTGGAGGGTCTTGGGCCAGTCATCTTCGTCTCCCTCACCAGGCTGTTGTGATCACAAAAAAAGGAGATGAGGGTTTTTTTCAAATATCTGAAGAAGTGAGCAGTGATTCATAAAAACTCATTCCAGGTATCTAAAGAAGTGAGCCGTGACTCACGAAAACTCAACCCCTGTCACATAGTTTGTTGGTCTTTAAAGTGCTACTGGACTCTCGCTCTTTTCTAAGACTACATTAAGTGATGGAGGATAGAAACTGCCTACTGGTAAAGAGCGGCTTGAAAGTGGAGCCAGTCATTTTGGGAGGAGGATTTTTCCTTGCCAGAGGTCGCGATGGCGAACCTCAACAGCATGATAAAAAGTAGAGACATCACCTTGCCGACAAAAGTCCGCATGGTCAAAGCAATGGTATTCCCAGTAGTCATGTATGGCTGTGAGAGTTGGACCATAAGGAAGGCCGAGCGCCAAAGAATAGATTCTTTTGAACTACGGTGCTGGAGAAGACTCTTGAGAGTCCCTTGGACTGCAAGAAGATCAAATCAGTCAATCCTCAAAGAAACCAACCCTGACTGTTCCCTGGAAGGCCAGATAATGAAGCTGAAGCTCAAATACTTTGGCCACCAAATGAGAAGGGAGCACTCACTGGAGAAGACCCTGATGCTGGGAAAGATTGAAGGTCAAAGAAGACGGGGACGGCAAAGGATGAGATGGTTAGACAGTGTCATCGATGCAACGAACATGAAATTGAGCCAACTTCAGAGGACGGTGGAAGACAGAAGGGCCTGGCGGGAGCTGGTCCATGGGGTCGCGAAGGGTCGGACTCGACTGTGCGACTGAACAACAAAAGAGGTCTTTAGGAAGAGACTGGACAGGATACCGCAGCTTTGGATTTCCTGCATTTACTAGGGGGTTGGACTACATGGCCTTTGAGGTACCTTCTAACTATGAATCCAGCCCTTTTCGGGGATTTCTGGCACTCCCGCCTCGCATACTGAGAAAGCACACTACGCACGATCCTTTCCATAAGTGTGTTTGCCGTCGTGTGTGAAGAGGGCAACAGAAGAAGAGGAGATTGGATTTATACCCCGCCCTTCACTTGGAGTCTCAGAGCAGCTTACAAACTCCTTACAAAAGTAATCTCCACCCCACGGTATGCACCCCAAACCAAAGGTACATGTTTGCACATAGCAAATATGCTTAGTGCACGTGTTACCCATTCATACAACATGGCAATAGAAGAAGAGGAGGAGGAGATTGGATTTATAACCTGCACTTCACTAGAGAGCCAGCTTGGTGTAGTGGTTAAGTGTGTGGACTCTAATCTGGGAGAACTGGGTTTGATTCCCCACTCCTCCACTTGCACCTGGCTGGATGACCTTGGGCAAGCCATAGTTCTGATAAGAGCTGTCCTTGAAAAAGAGCCGTTTCTGTCAGAGCTCTTTTAGCTCTGTGCGACTGAGATTAGTCTGACATTCTTTTAGCCCCACCTACCTCACAGGGTGTCTGTTGTGGGGAGGAGAAGGGAAAGGAGTTTGTAAGCTGCTCTGAGACTCCTTCAGGTAGTGAAGGGCAGGGAATAAATCCAATCTCTTCTTCTACCCGAAGGAGACACGGAGCAGTTTACAATCTCTTCCCCTTCCCCTCCCCACAACAGACACCCTCTGAGGTAGGTGGGGCTGAGAGAACTCTCCTTAGAGCTGCCCTTGAGATAACAGCTCTGAAAGAACTTTTGACTGGCCCAAGGTCATGCCAGCAGCTGCATGTGGAGAAGTGGGGAATCAAACCCAGTTCTCCAAGATCAGAGTCGGCACTCCTAACCACAACACCAAACTGGCTTTCTAGTATAGAACATAATAGGCTGTCCCAAGATGCAAGATAGGAATGCTAGAAATGTTTTGCCTGAAAAGGGCTGTTGTATTTTATACCACACTGAGCTCCCTAAGAGGAAGAGTGAGATTTGTATCTTACTGATAAAAGTGTCCCTGTTCTGTAAATCACCAAAGGGTACGCTGCCATCCGTTTGGGGCATGGCAGACAACTCCAATTTGCAGGAGCCAGCCAAGTAATTACTACCGAGTCTTTGCCGTTTCCGGTATTCCCTTAGGAAGTTTGTCGTTCCCAGAGCGAGGGAATTCTGGTTTCACCTGGGTGGCGGATTTCCCT